AAACTGGCGCACGGTGGCTGAGATGGAGGGCTTCCGGAGTCCTAGCCACTCCTGGTAAAGAGCCCGTCATGGACTTACTCTGAGGGACTTGCGCTGAGATCCAGCTCAGAGAGCACCACGGGCATATGGGGAGGAAGTGGACTGACTGACTGGCTTTGGGTGAGGGAGGAGGGGCAGCTTTCTCACAACAGAAGTGCTGGCAGAGGCCATGTTCCTTTGCTGAGCCCTCCCCACAGAGCTGGCAGGTGGGTACCATGTCTGCGTCTCCATCAGCCTGGCTCACACTGGAATTCCCTGAGATCCTGCCCCATCAAATGTGCTCTCCACCAAAGCCACTACTAGCAGCGTTCCATACAAATGGCCAGCCTTGGCTCATATTGTGGACTTCTCTAACTCCCTCAAAGGTTCACAAACCCCAAACAAGCAGCGTCTGCCTTTGGCATGCCCCATACCTCTTGCTAAGGAGCCAGCCTCATTGCTAAGCATTGCCTCTTCCAGGTGCCTCCAATCCAAGCACAAGTGGCAATCAACTGGAGATCACTTTGTAGCTCCCATTAGGTGGCAGAGCAGAGGCCATGGCTGACTTTGGCCTGCACCCTAGTGGCCCCCAAGAGGCCCAGAACCAAAATACCTGGTGGCCAGTTTCAGCCCACACCAGAGCACCACCCAACCAGCTCCACAAAGGACACACTCAAAGGGCAGACTCAGCAGGCACCAGAGCCCCGCTAAAGCAAACCCTGCTGCGTAGGGTCAGCCCTGCACAACAGCTCCTCCACTGTCGTCATAGCCAGTTCTCACGGCCAGTCAGCCTGAGGGCCAGTCCCTCCCACTGACCTGCCAACAGTAATCAAGGCTCAGCTACCAGAGGGCACACACAGCCCACACAGGACACACCTGGAGCACCCAGCTCAGGTGACCAGGGAGATGGAACCACTGGGCCCACGGACACCTACTACACAGGCCACTCCCAAGACCAGGAGATGGAGACACAAACACAGGGAGCAGTCAAAATGAGAAGACAAAGAAACATGCCCCAAATGAGGGCAGTTTAAGGGGCCTCTGGGACAATATGAAGCGTACCAACATTTGCATCATGGAGGTGTCAGAAAGAGAAGGGAAAGAGCAAGGGATTTAAAACCAATGTGAAGAAATAATGATGGAAAACTTCCCTAACATGATGAAAAACAGACATACAAGTGCAGGAAGTGCAGAGTCCCAAACAAGATGAACCTGAAGAAGCCCACACTAAGACACATCACCATTAAAATGCGAAAGAGAGAATCTTAAAAGCAGCTAGTACCTCCAGAAAAAGCTCCCATAGACTGTCAGCTGATTTCTCAACAGAAACTTTGCAGGCCAGAGGGGACTGGCACAGAATATTCAAAGTGATGAAAAGCAAGGACCCACAACTACAATGACTGTACCCAGCAAGGCTATCATTTAGAAATGAAGGACAAGTAAAGTGTTTCCCAGATAACAACAACAAAAAGCAAAAGGAGTTCACCACCACACCAATATTACAAGTAATGTTAGAGGGACGAGAGGAGAAAGAGGGGGAGGAGAAAATGATAAAAAAGATAAACAATACAACAGCAATAACTTCATACCTATCAATAATTACTTTAAATGTAAATGGATTAAATGCTCCAATTAAAAGACATAGGGTGGCTGAATGGATAAAAAAAACAAGATTCTTGCCCTGGCCGGTTTGGCTGAGCACTTAGAGCATTGGCCTGCGGACCAGAGAGTCCCAGGTTTGGTTCCCGCTAAGGGCACATACCTTGGTTGCAGTTTGTCCCCGCCTTGGCTGGGGTCATGTAGGTGGCAACCAGTTGACTCATTTCTCTCACATCAATGTCTCTCTCTCTCTCTCACCCCATCTCTCCTTCCCGCTCTATCCGAAGATAAATGCAAAAAAATGTCCTCAGGTGAGGATAAAAAAAAACAAAAACAAAAAAAAACCAAGATCCTTGCCCTGGCCAGTTTGGCTCAGCAGTTAGTGTGTCAGCCTACGGACCAGACAGTCCTGGGTTTGGTTCCTGCTAAGGGCATGTACCTCAGTTGGGGTCGAGTGGATGGCAACCAGTAGATGTGTCTCTCTCACATCAATGTTTCTCTCGCTCTCTTCCTCCCTCTCTCTCTCCTGCTCTATCTGAAGATAAATGCAAAAATGTCCTCAGGTGAGGATAAAAAATAAATTAAAAAAAACACAACAGATCCTTACAAATGCCATCTACAAGAGACCCATTTCAGATGGAAAGACACAGATTAAAGGTAAAGGGTGGAGAAAGATACTTCATTCAAATGGAAATGTGAGGCCCTGGCCGGTTTGGCTCAGCGGTTAGAGCATCAGCCTGCGGTCCCAAGAGACCCGGGTTCGGTTCCCACTAAGGGCATGTACCTCGGTTGCAGTTTATCCCCGGCCCTGGTTGGTCGTGTGGGTGGCGGCCACTCGATGTGTCCCTTTCACATCGATGTTTCTCTCTCTCTCTCTCTCTCTCTCTCTCTTCCTCTCTCTCCCTCCCACTCTACCTGAACGAAAAAATGTCCTCGGGTGAGGATAAAAAAAAATAAAAAACAAATGGAAATGTGAGGAAAAGTTGGGGCATCAACACTTACATCAGATGAAACAGACGTTAAAATCGAGGCTGTGACAAGAGTCGGAGAAGCACTCAGCAATCCTTCCTCTGGGTATTATCTGCCGAAACCCGGACACTAATTCAAAAAGACACACGCACCCCTCTGTTCACTGTGGCACTGTTTACAACAGCCGGTGGCACTATTTACAACAGCCGGGGGGGTGGGGAACACACCTGAGCGCCCAAACAGACAGCTGGCTGAAGACAGGTGCCCTGGAGGGCAGTGTGTGAGTGAGGTGAGTGAGACAGAGGGACAGATGTCCTGTGCTCTCACCTGCATGAACAAACAAAGCAGGAGCAGGCTCAAGTGCAGAGAACAGACTGCCAGCTGCCAGAGGGGAGGGGTCGGGGGCTGGGGAAACAGGGAAGGACTGAGTGTACACAAATGGGTGGTTATAAAATCAGTCCTGGGGATGTGAAATATAGCACAGGGAATGCAGTCACAATAGTCTCCTGAGTATGTACGGGGTCAGAGGAGTACTGACTTATTGGGGTGAGCACTTCGTAAGTTATACATGTCTACGTTGTACACCTGAAACTAATATAACTACTATATGTCAACTGTAACTGAAAAACAAAAAAAAATTTTTAAGATGATAATAAATGAGGAAAAAAAGGACTAGGAGACAGCATACTTGGTTTCCAGTTTTAGGGCAGAAGTTAGTGAGCTGTGTGCCTCTGAAGAAGTCACTTAACCTCTCTGGGCCTTCTCGTCATCTTATGAACAGTTGGGGTGCTGGAGCACAAGATTTTTATTTTTTATTTGTTCACCCTCACATGAGGATATTTTCCCATTGATTTTTAGATAGAATGGAAGGGAAGGAGGGAGGGAGAGAAAGAGAGAGAGAGAGAGAGAGAAAGAAATATCAATGTCAGAGAGACACATCGACTGGCTGACTCCCGCACATCAACCAGGGCTGGGGATCAAACGTTCAACCCAGGTACGTGCCCTTGACCAGGAATTGAACCCATTACCTTCGGTCCGCAAGCCGATGCTCTAACAGCTGAGCCAAACTCGCCAGGGCAAGGAGTATAAGATTTTTTTTTTATCCTCACCCGAGGATATATTTTTCCATTTTTGGTACAGATAGAGTGGGAGGGAGGGAGAGGAAGGGAGAGAGAGAGAGAGAGAGAAACATCGACATGAAGGGACACACCGAGTGGCTGTCACCCGCATGACCAACCAGGGCCGGGGACAAACTGCAACCGAGGTACGTGCCCTTAGCGGGAACTGAACCCGGGTCTCTCCGGACCGCAGGCCGACGCTCTAACCGCTGAGCCAAACTGGCCAGGGCAGGAGTATAAGATTTAAGATCCTTTCCGGCTGTGGGATTCTTGGACACTCACTCCTGTCACCTGTTTTCCACATAAATCATTTAACCACTAACTTGCTAAGGAATAAAGAAAAGTGCTCCCTTAAATAAAAAGTCTAACTGTTACAGAAACACACACAGAAGGCCCAGAAATGGAACTGAGGACAGAAGACAGAAGAGCCCCCTTGGCTGGCCTTCCCCACACTCCCATTCTGTAACCCAGAACGTCACTTCCAGGAATGTATTCATGTGAACAATTATTTAACATTTCCAACCATTTCAAAAGAACAATATACATGTAATAAACACAACCAGTAAATGCCAGGGTCATCCCTGACACATCTCAACTAGGGAAGTTCGCAGTGCTTCAAATCACATACTCATGGTCACAGCCAGACTGCCCCCGGTCACCCACACACAGGGACATCAACGACCCTTCATCTTATTCCAGAAAGAGCTACACAGTCTGTCACCTCCCAACCCATCCTCCCTTTCTCCCGGCCTGGGGTGGCTGCCCACTGGAGCTGTCTCCCTGCCCCCTGCAGCGGGGCGTCACCTGGGTTGGGCTCACCATGGCAGTGTGGGCAGAGATGCGCAGCACCACCTGCCTGCCTGAAGAGACTGCTGCCCTGCTCCCCGCTCCCCTGCGCCTGCCCTGGCTGCAGCCATGCACACCGGGACGATGCCCTCCGCACTGGAGCGAACAGGGAAGACCTATGCGGAGCAGAGCCGCCACACAGGCCCATCCCCTTACGACTGCCATGCACCCCAGAAACAACTGTCCCCTCACAGCCTGCCTCTCGGGGCACAGGGAACAGCAGCTCAGGCTGACCTAAGAGCCTCACTCCTAAAGTAACGACAGCTCTTCTCCACAGCTGACCTTCAATCCCAACCGATGACTCCAAAGAACGATGTTCCAGAAAGTCGGGGAAGAAACAGAGCCCACCAGCTTACCTTGCAACTAATTAAGGACATCTTTTCCAAGGAGCTTTGAAATCAAAGGGAATTTTATCTTGAAAATAGTAGGCTAAAAAATACAGAAACATACCAAATGTGCCATAAAATCCTCGCGGTCCACAAGTCCCCACTCCATACTTCTTTAGAGATGCCAAGGCTGCGGCCTTTGTAGAAGAAAAAATAAGAGTTCACAACTGGCATAGCCCACAGAACGCCTCTCGCCCTCCCCATTTTCCTTCCTTCCTTAGAACTACGATATCCTAACAATAGGATACAAAGAAAAGCAGACATAAAGATTTAGGGATATAACTTCAAACACAGAAATGTACTATTAACTCAACTATCACATCCTGGTTAACTCAACGCCTTTATACTTTTTGGCATTTGTGGACATAAGTCTGGGCTCAAAAATATTTACTGGCTGACAATCCCAACAGGAAACGGAGCAATTCCCTAGACACATCTCCGACCACCACCAGGTCCGGCTCCCCCAACACTAAGCCACGAGAGAGACAGCCCTGCCAGCCTGTGGAGACCCAGGCCACACCCCCGGGAAAGAAGAATGGGATGTTCCGCCCTCATCTCTGATCTCATGTCCGGTTCTTAAGTCGGTCGTACAGTCTTTCCCCTTCAGCACAGCTGCTACTCACCTTGACCCTGGGGTTATCCAGCAATCCGAGAAAATTGAAGGAGGCGAAGTTCACACATTCTTTCCCGTTCACCACGATGCTGTGGCTCGGAGGGCTGGGGAAGAGACAGCAATGGGGAGCCCGCCCTGCTTACAGCACACACGACCCCCGCTGTGTGCCAGCCTCCTACCTCTTGTACTTTGTGTTTGTGAAAAGTGAAAGTATACCATAGGTATACACATAGTGTTGCTAAGAAAATGATAAAACTAATATATCTTTGATACCAAAACTGGACCAGCAGAGTAAGGGAAAAGAAGATAAGGCACTAAACTCATTTTTCAACGTAGATGTTCAAAACCCCAAACAAATATCAGCAAAACAAATCCTGCAATGTATAAAAAACAAACATTCATGCTTAAATAGGGTTTATTCTAGGAATGTACATATTATTTACTAATAGAAAAAATCTACCAATGAGTCCTGGTAAACAAGACAGAATGAAAGAAAAAGAAAAAAAAACTACACATTTCAACCTCTGGTCTCTCCTGATAGCTCAAAAATATGCCTGCAGAGTCGGATGTCTGAGCCCACCGCAGGGCACAGGGGGAAACGCCCACAGGGTCGGATGTCTGAGCCCACCGCAGGGCACAGGGGGAAACGCCCACAGGGTCGGATGTCTGAGCCCACCGCAGGGCACAGGAGGAAAAGGCAGCAACAACGCGCTGGGAGTTCAAGAGCAGATGGACGAGTGGTATTTGGAGAGTCCAGGAGACCACAGAGAAAGCTGAGTGGATGCTGGCAGGGAAATGCCCAGCAAACCCGAAAATGCTCCCAGGTTGGGGGCGAGCTGCCCATGAAAGGGGAAGAGCAGGGGTGGGCTCAGAAGCATGGCTTGGAAACCCTCACAAGGAGTCATTTCCTTAGATCCCCTTTGGCCATGCAGAAAGGTGCCAGTTTTACTCTGGAAAGGCTGAATGTAAACTAAAATTCCCAAGGACGAGTGAAGAAATGGGTACCACTCTGAAAACAGAAATCAAGTATGAATCTACATCATAAAAACGGGACACTGAGCCCTCCTCTGTCCTCCAACTCAGCTCCCAGACCACACCCCCATCCCAACACACTGGAGTATTCCCTTTCAGTGACACTCTAAGAGGAGAACAGCAGAAAATACTGAGTTTGGAGTCCCCTGAAACAGGCACACAGGTCCTGGTCTGACTGCCGAGAGCAATGTCCACTGCCAGTCAGGATGCCTAGCCCGTTGCACAGGGCTTCGGATTAGCATTTCAGTGTCTCAGGCTGAAAAATAGATTTCCAAACAGGACATACAAATGGCCAAGAGACACATAAAAAAAATGCTCAACATCTCTCATCATCAGAGAGATGCAAATTAAAACAACAATGAGGTATCACCTCACACCTGTCAGAATGGCCGCCATCAACAAATCATCAAACAAGTGTTGGCGAGTGTGTGGAGAAAAGGGGACTCTAGTGCACTGCTGGTGGGAATGCAGACTGGTGCAGCCACTATGGAAAATAGTATGGTGTTACCTCAAAAGATTAAAAATTGAACTGCCATTGGACCCAGTGATCTCACTTCTTGGAATATATCCTAAGAAGCATGAAACACCAAACAGAAAGAATGTATTCACCCGTATGTTCATAGCAGCACTATTTACAATAGCTAAGATCTGGAAACAGCTCAAGTATCCATCAGTAGATGAGTGGATGAAAAAGCTGTGATACATGTACACAATGGAGTACTATGCAGCTGTAAGAAAGAGAGATCTCTTACCCTTTGAGACGACATGGAGGGACCTGGAGAGTATTATACTACGTACCAGTTATTTGTGGAACATAACGAAAAAATATGCTGTCAACCAAAAGAGATCCAGAGGCATGAGAGTAGGGAACAGACTGACAAACCTCAGAGGGATAAGGGGTGGGAGGCGAGGGGAGAGATAAACCAAAGAACTTATATGCATATATACACAACCAATGGACATGAACACTAGGCTGGGAAGACAAGAGGGGGAGGGGGTCAATGAGGATAAAGAGGGACATCTGTAATACTTTCAACAATAAGAAAAATAAACAGTATAGAGGAATAAAAAGCACATACTAAAGAAAAAAGAAGGCATTCCTCACAGCATCATAAAATTAGCTCAAAATACACCACAGAGCAAAAAGTATAGACTTAAGTAAAGAAACAGAAGAGTCAATCTTCATAACCTTGGACGAGGCAAAGCCTTTTAGATATGGCACAGAACCACAAGCAACAAACATACAGAGAGACGGCCTGGACTTCATTAAAATTAAAAACATTTGTGCTTCAAAGCACAGTATGAGAGAAAAGATACAAAAACCTACAGAATGGGGGAAAATATTTACAAGTCATATATTTAATAAGGGCTCAGTATCCAAAATATATATAGAACTCCTACAACTCAGTGAGAAAAAGGCAAATCACCCAATTAAAAAATGGGCAAATGACTAAGCAAACTATTCTGCAAAGATGTACGCATGACCAATAAGCACATGAAGAGAGGCTCAGCAGCACTAGCAGATCTGGGATGCCACCTCGCACCTGGTGTGGACACACTCAGAGACAGAGAGCACGTGCGGGCCTGGCTGTGAAGACACTAGCGCTTTCGCACATTGCCGGTGGGAGGTGAGATGATTCAGCCAGTTTGGAACAGTCTGGAGGTGCCTCAAAATGGCTCACAGTCCCACTCTTAGGTATACAGCCAAGAGAAAGAGAACATGTCCACACAGCCCTGGCCGGTATGGCTCAGCGGTTGAGCCTTGGCCTGCGGACCAGAGAGACCAGGGTTCGGTTCCCGCTAAAGGCACGTGCCTCGGTTGCTGTTTGTCCCCGGCCCCAGTTGGGGTTGTGTGGGTGGCAACCACTCGATGTGTTTCTCTCACATGGATGTTTCTCTCTCTCTTCTTCCCTCTCCCCCCCACCCCCGCTCTATCTGAAGGTAAATGTAAAAATGTCCTCGGGTGAGGATAAAAAACAATAACAAAAAACATGTTCACACAAAATGTATACACAAATATTTATATCTGTATCAATATCTATCTATAGAGATGTATTTTTTCTTTTTTTATGCACTTCCAAGTGGAAACATCCCCCATGTCCATCAACTGATGAATGTTTAAGCCACACGGGATCTGTCCAGAGTGGGATGTTATTCGTCCACAAAGATGAATGAAACGCTGACACTGCTACAACACGGATGACCTTGAAAATACTGGGCTAAGGGAAAGAGGGCAGACACCAAAGACCACGTACTGCACGATTCCTGTTACATGGAATATTCACAATAGGCAAAATCCATAGAGAAAGTTAGTAGCTGCCAGGGGCTGGGGAGTAGGGGGATGGTTAATGAGTGTGGAATTTCTTTGTGGGGTGATGAAAATATTCTGGAGTTGGATGGTGGCAATGGTTGCACCACTGTGAATTCGCTAATACCCACTTCATGGTGGACCTTAAAAGGGGGAGTTTTATGGTACACGGGTTATATTTCAAGAAGGCTACTTAAATTTTAAAAACTCATCCAAGTTAAGTAAATTCACTTTCTCTTGTGTCAGCTCAGTACTGAATGTAAAAGAGGTATTGCATAAATTGCAAAGTAAGTCTGTACTTACCAGGATCAACAAAACATATTTTTGTGGCTTTGGCCGAGCATTTCCATTACACTATGAATCACAATGGAAACACTCCGCACACTGAAAGGAAAAGGATGTGAAGGCTCACGACATGGAGCAAGTGTCTAAGGAGCAATAAGCAGATGAGACAATCCCTCTGCTGTAAAGGGGTAAAATAAGAAACCACCAACTTCAACAGTGGTGATCTTGTATGAAAGGCAAGAGTAAGTGATACACGGGAAGGGGTTTCTTTAGCTACATTTGTAATTTTTTATTTCCTTTAAAAAACAGATGTCAAGTAAAGACAGCAAAGTGTTACTGCCTATTAATTCTAGATGGTTAATACATATGTGTCTTGTATTTTCAAAACACTTCTCAATTTAAAAAGCACATACAAAAAGCACAGATTGCCCTGGTCGGTTTGGCTCAATGGTTAGAGTCTCAGCTCTGATTCTGGTCAAGGGCATGTACCTTGGTTGCAGTTCAGTCCCCAGCCCTGGTCAGGGTCATGCAGGAGGTAACCAGTTGATGTGTTTCTCTCATGTCAATGTTTCTCTCTCTCTCATTCCCTCCCTTCCTCCCATTCTATCTGAAGATAAATGGAAAAAATATTCTCAGGTGAGGATTAAAAAAAAAGCAGATAACCAGTAGAAGAACTAAAAATAAAAACAGATCAGACATGGCCCTGGCTGGTTTGGCTCAGCGGTTAAAGCAGCGGACTGTGGTCCCTAGAGACCTGGGTTTGGTTCCCGCTAAGGGCACGTACCTCGGTTGCAGTTTGTCCCCGGCCCTGGTTGGGTCATGCAGGTGGCAACTACTCGATGTGTCCCTTTCATGTCGATGTTTCTCTCTCTCTCTCCCCCTCCCACTCTATCTGAACCAAAAAAAATGGAGAAATGTCCTCGGGTGAGGATACAAACAAACAAACAAACAAACAAACAAACAAACAAACAGATCAGACACTGGATGCAAGAAGAGAGGTAGGATAAGGGAGCTGCAGTTTCACAGGTGTTTTCCACTGTTAATCAAGCAGTAGTGTCAGCACAGTTAATATCTTATTATGCAGGAAACTTGCAACAGACCTGAAATAGAAACAAACCAGGTGGGAAGACAGAGGTGCAGCTTTTCATTTTAAGTGCATCTGACCATCTGACATACTGTCATATCTGTGCATTACTTTGAAAAATACACACACACACACCTATATACCTCTTTATATGTATATATCTTTATATATATGTTCTTTTTAGAAAAAGTGACAAACTGAAATGTCCAAATTGGAGACTACAAAAAATGCCCCTACCATTCCTAAAAGAAAGTTTTATGTTGGGAACTAAAGCAGGGAGTTCCTGATGTGCAGAGATTTCTAAGTGTTTGATTTCAGGTAAGAAAGGAATACCATTACACTATTACATACTCTGGTGCGTTTACCCCCAGGAAACCAAATGCAAGTCCTCCCAGCAACAAACTGATTTACCCTGAAACGATGTTGTAGTTGAGAGCAGGATGGTCTTTTGAGATAGGAGGAACAAGAGGTTCCGGCTGCCACTCTTCAATCAATTCTTCTTTTTCCTGCAGGAGAAAAGATGGTGAAACCCAGCACAGTGCGAGTCCATGGACAGGGGCTTCAGCAGTATCTAAACTGTTGTTGCAGTGGAACCGTCATAACGAACACACTGCTGGACTCAGACGTCTACTTGGTGGCTAGAAATGAAACAGAATCACTTTTGAGTTCTGGGCACTTAACCTCCTCACCTATCACAGGCCAAATGCTCTTTCTGCAAGTAGTTCTGGGGGTGACTGGAAAATTTAAGAACACTTTACTTCTATCATCAGAAGTGTTCACTGTGGGTCGTATGAAGTACGACATACTGACTGTAAACCAAGAAAGTCTACAACACAAAGGTGCCAAGCATGCTTTCTGCTAAGTCAGCTCAGCTCTACCCCAAGACAACACAGGAAGCCACACCAGAGTGGTTACCGAGGGGGGCATCATGGGAGGGGGTCAGCCAGATCACAAAGCACTGTTCCTACAAGCCTCTGCAGGTGTAGATGAAATACAGGAAAAAACTCTCTACCAGTATTGTAATGGAATTTCATTTAGATTTTCTCATGAAAAGCTATTTTGTTCCTTTTATCTGTTACTTCATGCATTATTAGTATTTTAACTATTTTGCATTTCTTATCCTTTGTGAATCAGAAAAAAAGGGAATTTTGAAAAGGCAGTCTGGGTGTACAGGATGGGATGAGGCACCTGTATTAACATCAGGTCACAGCAATTCTCGCCTCGCAAATGGACCCTCTTCAATCGTTCTGGTCTCACACTTCCAATAAACGCTTCTGTACCTCTCCCTCCTGGAAGGCAACCCCGAGCAGGACTGGAAGCACATTCGCCCGATGTCCAGGCACTCACAAACGAGGGCCGAATAAATCAACCAGCACACTTCTCATCGGTTTCTGCCAGCGACCTCACGGAGGAGAACAGCACCCGTACAGCCCGGAGTACACGTCGTGCACACTGTCCACTCGCTACCACGCAGAGACGTTAGAGTCCACTCGAGAGGCCCTGCTCCTCGAGAGCCTCTGCAGACCCATCAGCCTGGGAAGGGCACGTCTCACTCCCACACTCCGTCTCTTTCCTTCCACTGCTGGCAGAGGCCACGTCAGCGACACTAAATCTCCTTCTAGCTCAATGTGCTTGCAAAGGGTTGTCCTAAAACTATGTATATGTATAACTCTTTTAAAAAATGTGTATATGTGTGGATTGATAAGTTTAAACTAAAACTAAGAATATTTGGATTAATCAACCCCTTTAAAGAGTGTGGCTAGAAATCTGTTTCATGGCCACCTACTCATTCACAGAAGTTCCCAAACACCAAAGGAAAAGCGCGGACGGGATTCTGGCCTGTAGGCCCAGCCTCACTGCGATGCTACAGAAAGAGCGTCCGTTCTGCGGCACAATAATCCCACCAGTACTCATTTTGCTTTGTTGTTTTCTTTATCCTCACCTGAGGACATTTTTCCATTTTGTGTTCAGATAGAGTGGGAGGGAGAGAGAGGAAGAGAGAAAGAGAGAGAGAGAGAGAGAGAAACATCGATGTGAAAGAGACACATTGAGAGGCTGCCACTTGCACAACCCAACCAGGCCGGAGACAAACTGCAACCGAGGTACGCGCCCTTAGCGGGAACTGAACCCGGGTCTCTCTGGACCGCAGGCCGATGCTCTAACCGCTGAGCCAAACTGGCCAGGGCCCACCAGTACTCAGTAAAAGGTGTGGGGGAAGAGGGAGAGAGTTGTGGTCAGGTTCCTGCAGACGGGGTTCAAGTATGCACTGGCACCTCGGAGGTTACAAGAACCATGCAATGAGACACCTGTTCTGCTTTACCCAGGCTCCGAAACGCTCTGCCCTGGAAACCATATGCCGCATGTTCCCTAGGGGACAGTGCCTGACAGTGTCATGATGAAGATCGATCAGGACGGCAGCTGGTCAGGGAAGCCAGGGAGGCAACTGCACACTCTGTGGTGACTCCCCTCCGCTCGCACTTCCTCCTGGGGATGCTCCAGGCAGGAAAGGAAAGCCCAGGCTCCATCTCTGTGCTGCACCAATGCTGCCTGTGAACCAGAGCTTTAGAGACCTGTGTGGGACGTGCTCTCTCACAATCCGCGCCTCCCTCAGCACTGGCACAACCATCCCAGTGACAGAAACGCTGGCGGTCACTGAGCGCTCCTGCCCCATCCCGCGCCCTGACGGACGGCCTTGAGCAGCGCCAGAGCCTCTAGGCGCTCTGCTGCCGAAGGTTCGCGTGGCGTGGGCTGGAGCCGGGTCCCTTACCATCAGAGCTGATCAAAATTCATTTGGGGTGGGAGGTGGGGAGTGCGGGGTGAGGAGGAGTCTTTCCAACTCTGAACTTCCTTTATGAAGACCGCAGGGAAAATGTTCACAGGCTTCAGGAGTTCGGCTTTTCCAGAGCAACTCCTGAGTCCTGCACACGGAGCCACAATCCAGCAGCAGCCGTGCTGCCGCTCCTCCTCATTCGCAGGACTGCTGTCTCCCAGCACAGCTCAGACGTCTGTGCCAGGCTGCTCCCCTGGCAGGACTTGGCTTTCCCATGTTTGGCCTGCCATGTGTGTCATTCCCGGTGATTTCCACACACTACAGGAAATATTTTAGCGTAGCACTGGCCACAAGCCCTTTTTGGAAAGATGTAGCAACTATCATCACCCACTAAATAATGAAAGAGGTGTAATTTCTTACCTTGATTGTAAGATCAGATCGTTCTTGCAATTTGTAAGTTTTAGAGAAAAGCAGCCTGATTATCCAGAGTATTAGAATTCCTTCCAAGATAAGATGGTAAGCAGGAGCCTAAGGATGAGCCAAACACAAAAGAAGTGAAATGAACACGTCTAAAACCTAATTCACCTGCAAATGCTGCCTCCAATGACCTTTAACCTATTACTTCTTAGAACTGACTTTCCAAGCTCCTTCCATGTCTACTCAATCTTTTCCCATTTCTGACAGTAGGCAGTTTCTTCTACACATAAAACATTCTCTAATACTGCAGCTTAAAACACATCAAATTAACATCTGACACAGAATCCCAACGGGTCAAACAACATCACTATGAGATCCTATAGGTGATTTACATTTTTACTGCTGGGAAATGACTATAACAAATACATCACAGCTTCACAAGCCTTCTAGAACCCCATGGCAAGTTAAGAAAATTATTTGAAAACCAGTTTCCACAATTCTTAGAGAGTTTTGCATGTCTTGCTGCATTTTCTGTATTCTTCTGATAAGCCTCTTTAAATCCTTACAATGTGGCAGAGAAAAAAAAGACCTTATAAATGCTTAAAGGGACAGCAGGTCTTTTTTTCCCCTAAAGTATGTAGTGTTTTCCATGTCAACAGGCACAAAGACACCTTAATGAGATTATCTGTGTCACGTCTTCTTTTCAGCTGTACATGTTCAAGATAAAGAGCCCAAGGGGGCTTTTAATCATTGCTCAACTACTAGACACAAAAAGTGCAAGTGGAAGATTCCACATGTCACCTAAACCCGTCAGTTACAAGGTGCTCTATCCAACAGTTTGCCACCAGAAAATTTAAAAGAGGTATTTAGAAACTTAAACACAATTATTTTCAAACATTAGACTGGAAGGAAGTGATGATGAGTCACCGCAGTTAAAAAAAAATCCAGAATGTGGAGACAGGAAAACTGCTGAAAAATTCATATGTAAACTTCCAGGTCAATGTACAAATGACTTTCAAACTATATACATTTGATACAATACACACACTATTATTTCTCTTTAGAGTACATTACCCAAGTCTCCTCAAATTCTACCCACCAAGTGCACAGAAATCAGGAGCAAGAACAGAAATCTCTCTTTAAGATTATTTTTATTTGTTAATGTTTTTATTGACTTTTTTGTTTTTAGAGAGAGAGGAAGGGGGAGAGAGAGAAAGAGAAACATCGATGTGAGCAACATCGATCGGTTGCCTCCTGCACATCCCGTACTGGGGATCAAGCCTACAACCCAGCATGTGCCCTGACCGGGAATCGAACTGGGACCTCTCAGTCCATGTGCCCACGCTCTATCCACTGAGCCACAGCGGCTGGGATAAGATGACTTTTAAAATTTGCTGATAACTATCCATTTGGGTTCCTCACTAATTGAATTCTAATAGTCAAACATCTGTCCAACTCACTACACATCCCACTCCATAAAGAAAGCATCCTAAGAAAAACTGAGATACTGTCTAGTGAATTAATACAATTTACAAATGCCACTTCTTTTCCTGGAAATGTTACATCTAGGAGGACTTCACTCAAGTGTCACTCTTGGTCAGTTACGCAGTTTTCAAAAAGAGAGCAAAAACAAAACAGAAAGTTATTCATTTATACAAAAATAAATATTAAAACTTAGCAACTCTTTTTTTTTTTGTTTTTTTTTTACTATAACGAGCCTAATGTTGGACATCACTCATGCCACAGCTGCTCTGCCAACAGTTTTTCAGCAAGTCCTGATCAGTCTTGCCCTGGCTGACACTGTCATCACCCATGCCAGGAAGGAGCAATGTTAAATTTAAAAAACTGAGATTCACTTATTTTTTTAATCCTCACCCGAGGACATTTTTTCCCATTTTTTGTTCAGACAGCGTGGGAGGGAGAGAGAGGAAGGGAGAGAGAAACATTGACGTGAAAGGGACACATTGAGTGGCTGCCACCCGCACGACCCAACCAGGGCCGGGGACAAACTGCAACCGAGAACGTGCCCTTAGCGGGAACGGAACCCGGGTCTCTCTGGACCACAGGCCAACGCTCTAACCGCTGAGCCAAACCGGGCAGGGCTCACTTTATTTATTTATTTATTTATTTTTATTTGTTTATTTATATTTTATTTCATTGTTTGGTACATGCCCCTGGGAACCGAGCTCGGGACTCTCTGGTCCGCAGGCCGACGCTCCAACCGCTGAGCCTAACCTGCCGTTGCTGAGATTCCCTGTAAATGAATGTGAGCTCTACAAGCACGAGAATGTCTGCCTCCTTGCCTAGTGCACTAGGCCCAGTGTCTTGACCTGTGCTGTCCAATACCATGGCCACTAAGTCACCAGGTGGTCATTTTCCCCTTTATTGCTTTTAGAGAGAGGCAGGGAGAGGGAGAGAGAGAGAAACACGGATGGGAGAGGATGAGAGAGAACCTGGATGGCCGCCTCCTGCACGCCCCCCACTGGGATGTGGCCCACAGCCTGGACAGGTGCCCTGACCGGGAATCGAACCGGGACCTCCTGGTGCAGGGTCGACGCTCAACCACTGGGCCACACCGCCGGCCTCTCCAGCACACCCGAGAGACCCACTCAAACAGCCGTCTCTTCACAAGGCGGACGGAAGGACGGCGACTGCGTGCCGCTCACGCTCCTCAGCCCCACAGCCGGCTGCTCTCACCGCGCCCGCGGAAACGCCGCCGTCCCCCCTCCGTCCCGACCTCCCCGCCGCACGGCTTCCCGGTGCCTCCCAGGCCGAGCTCGTGCCTGCAGTTCCTGCCACCCGCTCCCCAGCGCCCGAGTTCTGGCATTTGGGGCCCAGCCTCTCTCCTGCGCCCCGACAGCACCAGGGCGAGCTCGGCGCCCGGGCAGCTCCAGCCCACACCCTCGGGGCGGTGCGCGCCCGAGCCCCAGCTAGGGACGCGGCCGGGCGTGACCGAGCCCTCCCGCGCGGGCCGCCCACCCCCCAGGCCCGGCTGTGGCCGGGGGTCCCTCGGCGGCCACGCTCACCTCGTAGAGCGCCTGCACCATCTCCACCAGGACCCACTGCTCCGCCGCGGTGGCCATGGTCCGCGCTGGGCTCCCTTCCGGAAGGCGCGCCTCAGTGACGTCACACAGCGCGCCGCTCGGCCCAGCCCGGCGTAGGTGTCTGGGGGCGGGGCGACCGAGCGCTGGGCAACCCTCCTCGCGCGTGCGCACTCGCGCCCGTGCAGGCGAGGAGAAGATAGGGGTTCTGACCCACCCAGCTCAGGTTTCGGGGCTCCCAGGTTGGAGGGAGGGGTGGTTCTTGCGGCTTCGGTGCCCACGCGGTTGTGGGTGCCAGGCCGCATGCTGGGCTGTGGAGGTGGACGGAGTAAACAAACGGCCTTTGCCTTGCGCATGCATGTGGGCGCAGGGCGTGGTAATGTGATTGAAAGCCATAATCTTTGCTTTTGAATCGCATAAGCAATCCCGGAATGTATTGTCATTAAAAATACAGAACTAGGGCCTCGCCGTGTGGCTTAGTGGTTGAGCGTTGACCCTGCACCAAGAGGTCACTGGTTGGATTCCGGTCAGGGCACATGCCCAGGTTGTGGGCCTGATCCCCAGTGGGGGGCGTGCAGGAGGCGGCCATCCATGTTCTCTCTCATGGATGTTCCTATCTCTCTCTCCCTCTCCCTTCCTCTCTCTCTCAAAATCAGTAAAGGAAAAAATAATAATAAATATAAAAACACTGAACGAGGAATTCAAATAGCCAACTTATCCAGAGTACTTACCCGTGTGTCGCATGGACCCAGGCCTTGCAGGTGTCATCACAGCTGTAGGTGTGGAATCTTCCAGTGTCCTCACAGTGTCCAGCCTGCAGGAAAGTTTTATCAAAGTCTATTTGAGCCATAAAGACATGCCCAGAACAATCTCCCAGACGGAGGTAATGTTCCCGACAGTGGCAGTGTTGCGCCTCATTTTATACTTTGGAATCAAAAGAGATAAGATAAGGAGGGTTGTGTAATCCACTGGTGGTAGATTACTGAGGCCAGAGAAGGCTGGGGGTTCATCTCTCCAATCAGAAGTAAAGTGGAGAGATACATACTTCTACATGGGTAGGTACAGGGTAGATGACACTTAACATTAACAACAGGTAGGGATGAAGTGCAGGCCACAAGATAACCATGAGGATCTCTTGTGATGGTGGTTGTGCCTTCTGGGGGTCTGGGAAAGAAAATTACTGACATTTCAAAGATACTTAGCCTAGATGCAAAGAGATAACAGACAGGGCTCAATAGAGGTAAAAACTGATCTTTACCAAGGAAGCGACAGGCCTGGGACTGGACTAACCAGCACAACCCACTTAGGAATTTTTTTTTTTTTTTTTGCTTTTATCTTCAGATAGAGCAGGAAGGAGAGAGGGAGGAAGAGAGAGAGAGAAACATCAACGTGAGAGAGACACATCAACTGGTTGCCACCCACACGACCTCAACCCGGGCCGGGGACAAACTGCAACCGAGGTCCGTGCCCTTAGCAGGAACCAAACCCAGGACTCTCTGGTCCGCAGGCCAATGCTCCAACTGCTGAGTCAAACCAGCCAGGGCTACATTGGGTTTCTTAAATGCAACTGGGATCACAGGGACAACACTATTCCACAACTTGCATTTTTCTGTTATTTTTTTCTTGTCGTGTTTTGTCTATAAATCTTGTATTTTTAACGGCCAAAGAAGACTATATTTTGGACTAATTGGTTACATATATTTGTTTCTTTTTATTTAAACATGTCCCTACTGGTGGACACGAGGCTTTTCCCACTTTTCCCCATTACAAACAGTGCCGCAGTAAATATCTACGTGAGTATGTTTTCCTGTGCATGTCGGGGTTTCTTTCAAGCCTCGTCAAAGTGGAATTCTAGTCAAAAGTATGCATGTTATTAATGCTGATAAATACGGCCACGCTGTTCTCCAGATGGCTCCACCAATCTAAAATGTTTGGAAGTATAACCACACTCTAGCCCATGAAGATAAACAATCATTTTTTGTTTTTGTTTTTTGCTGGTATCTTCTGTGAAATATTATAATATAACGCCATGTACTGGGGGAGCATGTTGGAACATTCATTACACAGTTAGTAGTAGTTTTATTAAATAATTATAGTCTTTACTAAAAACAGGCAAAATCTGCTTGGTACAAATTTATTCCAAGAGTTTAAAAATATTTCACTACAGGTTTTACACAAGTCCCAGCTCACTGAAACACTAAAGCTAGACTGTTCTATATAGAGTTTGCTAGCAGCATTTACATATGTACTGAGGTAATCGATCTTTTTTAAAGTGTTTGCCAATTTAATGGAGATAAAAACGATACCTCACTGAGTTTTGTTTTCCATGCTGCTGGTTATTCATGAGGTTTAGCAACTTCTTATATGTTTATTGGCATGTCTGGTCTGTCTGAAAATAACCAGTTCATATTTTTTGCCTGTTTTTCTATTGGTTATTTTTCATGTTCTTAAGGATTTATAGGCACTCTTCATACATTCCGAATATGGTACGCTTTCCTCTGTCATATGTGATAGTTACTTTTGCCCACTTTTGTCCAGTTGTTCTTGTTGTCTTCTATCCTCGCTACGTTTTAAACTGTACACAATGTGCCAGCCTGCTCCTTTGTTCCCTTTGGGGCTGTATCTTGCTTAGAAAGACCATTTTCACCACCCACACACTTGTAACAATTTGTTGTTGTTTACAATGAGCTATTTAATTACTCTGGAAATTATGTTTTTGTATGATGAGAGACATGGGCCTTAGAATTATTTTTTCCTAAAGGAATCACAGATTTCCCCAGTGCCATTTATTTTCATCATCCTGACTTTCCCCAGTCTCGGGACAGGCACGAGCACAATGCATTAAGCTTCCACGTGAGGTTGGCACTAGGTCCCTGACGATCTCAGAACTGTGCCAACATCCCCTGGAATCCAGGACAGTGACGTCCACATTGCCTCCCCCGGGTGCTTTCAATCCAACAGCTGTCACCTGCATTTGTCAGAGACCTGCCTTCAGGCTGCCAGAACCCCTGTTCCCTGCTCTCCTGGAGAATTGGAAGGATCTGAGAATGTTTTTCCTGGGCAGCACATGACTGGGTGGGTGACTGGTGGTTGCTGGGATATAGATATTGCAGCTTCTTTGCCCCCCAAAGCAACACAACTCTGAGGGCAGAACGTCACCATCTCCCCTGAATTGAGTCAGTGGTACTGTCTGTGGATTTCTTCACATGCCCATCAAGAATCAGAGTCTATGTCCTCTTCCCCTGAGGCTGGGCACGTCTCTGTGACAGCTTCTGCAGCAGAATGCAGCTGCCATGTAGAAGGACCATGGGAGGACCACATAGAGAGGAAAGAGGTGACCAAGGGGCCCCAGCTCCAGCCCCTAGCTGTTTGGGTCTCACAGATACCATTAAGAGCCTGGTTATTATGAACAGTTAAGGAGTGAAAGGGAGACTGGATAACATAGGCATGCCATTAAACAGCTTTGCCAGGAAGCTGCACTTCAACACTCCAGGTCTACTTCCTATGATCACTGGGAGAAGGGATTGGAAAAAGCAATTTAGACACAGGCCTGGTAAAGTCTAGGGGGCGTGGAAAGATGCTTACCTGTCAATCACCTAGAAATGTGGTTGGCCAGAGTAGGTGTGGCCACTGCAAGGATGTGAAATCTGAATATTTAAGCTCCTGAACAAAGAAAGTTCCCTCTCCTGACTCTTGGCCCTCTTGCTTTCTAGGGACTTCTGTTGCAGGGGGCACGCTCCCCTGCATTTTCCCACGTGGCTCTTGGCCACATGGGACCCACACAATGGACTGATGGACTGAATCTGGCCTGATGCTCCCTTGGACCCAGCTCCACCCTGGAATGGACACTGTGGACACTGGCCCTGCTTCCAGCTCTGGTAGAGCCCCAGCTGCATGTCTTGCAGGACCGGGTTAAGGGAACTGGGACTTTAGAACCCCAGGGATATAATTTCACGCAAATAAAAATCATTCTCCGGTGCAAGTGTTAGAAAGTTTATTTTCTCAAGATATCACAAGGGCCCCACTCCCACTAGTGTCAGAGAAATGCACTTATCTGGCAACATTACTAGTCCAGGTGCCAGACATATGAAGGAAGGTGCCATCGAGATGGCCCAAGTCTAGCCACCCTCTGGCTACAACCACCTGAGAGACCCTGAATAAGAAATGCCTATCTAAACCCAGATAACCCCCAGATTCATGAACAAAGTAGGTGATGCTTATTATTTTAAGCCGCTACTTTGGTTTTTTTTTGTTATGCAGCAGTTTTATTTTCTCTTTATTGTTTTCCTAGAGCAGCCATAACAAATTATCACCACCTGGGTGGCTTGAAACAACAGAAAATGATTCTCTCACAGTTCTGGAGGCCAGAAATTCAAAAGCAAGACGTTTTGACAGGGCTGTACTCCCTCTAAGGGCTCTGGGGGAGACTCCTTCCTGCGTCTCCCAGCTCCTGGGGGCTCCAGGCATTCCTTAGCTCGTGGCTGCACAACTACAATGTTTGCCTCTGTCTTTACACAGCCTTCTCTTCTTTGCTGGTCCTCTATGTACTTCTTTACAGACAATTGTCATTGGATTTAGGGCCCATCCTGATAATCCAGGGTGATCTCATCTGCAAAGAAACTGTTTCTAAATATGGCCATATTCACAGGTTTTATTTATTTATTTATTTAAAAATTCTTTATCCTTTATGATTTTAAAGAGGAAGTGAGAGGGAGAGAGAGACAGAAACATCGATAAGAGAGAACATCGATGGGCCGCCTCCTGCATGTCCCCCACTGGGTATCGGGCTCACAACCTGAGCATGTGCCCTGACCAGGAATCGAACTGGCGACCTCTTGGTGCAGGGTCAACACCCAACCACTGAGCCACATTGGCTGGACCATATTCACAGGTTTTAGAGATTAGGACATGGTCATGTCTTTTGATGGGCGAACATTCGACCCACTGCAGTCGAACCTCTGGCCTCTTACGTCTGCCCCACAGGCAAAATATATTCCTCCCATCCCAACAGCTCCAAAAGTCTTAACCCTCATCTAAATGTTATGAGCTCGAAAAGTCCCCAATCT